TTTCTCATTTTCCAGTTTTTTGTTTCTTTCTACTTGTTCTGCTTTCTCATTTTCCAGTTTTTTGTTTCTTTCTACTTGTTCTGCTTTTAATTTTCTCTCTCATTTTCCAGTTTTTGTTTCTGTCTATTTGTTCTGTTTTTAATTTTCTCTCTCATTTTCCAGTTTTGTTTCTTTCTAATTGATCTGTTTTTAATTTTCTCTCTCATTTTCCAGTTTTGTTTCTTTCTAATTGATCTGCTTTTAATTTTCTACTTCTATATTCTTGATTTCCTTTTAATGCTTCGTCTCTTTCTACTTGTTATTCTTTCCATTATTTCTCCATCTCCAGCACATTTTCCATTTTGCTGCATGTTCGTGTTGTCATCTTAGTCAAAGTTATATTTTATTTTCACTAAAATAATCCCACTCCTGACAACCAAGCGTGTTCCATAGCTAGGCAGGCTCCTACGAGTTGTTTGGTAAAAATAATAAAAATCCAGTCCACATAATGATAAAAAGTTTGTTTATTTCTTCAATAACATTTGCTACAGGCTACTTCACTGGTAGGTGTAACTTAACGAACAACGTTTAAGCAGAAATTCCACAAATATAGTACATTAACTGACAAATAAACGTACTTGCAGAATTTTCTTGCTAATTGCTCAATAGCAAATAAAAAAACAAGCTGGCTAATTCACTGATTAGCTTATCCATTGAATTACAGACAAAACTCAATTTTTAAAGTTATAAGTCCTCAGACTTATCGTTGAGCCACCAAGAAGCTTGTGTTGTGAAATATACTTATTAATAAACTTCTTTTAACTATTTTTTAAATAATAGTGTTATAATAATTTTTACTGTTAGGCGGGTTCTTTGGAGTATTTTATATAACAGAATAACTAAAAGTCCAATTAATCTACTTAAGGACAATAAAAATGTTTTATCTCTTAACTCAACTTCCACGATCAATACAATCACCATCAACATTAACTAATGGGAGTAACATTACTTCTAGATTACGTTTATCAGTAATTCCACTTACTTGCTAATTTTATCTCAATTTATTCGTTGAAATACAAGCTTAATATTCATAGTACTGAAGTAACCTAGTTAACAATAAGAGACAAGCTGACTAAATCATGAAAATGATAACTCAAACACAAACTCACTGTAAGTCTAAGTCGCTTTAAATTATTTCCTACACTTTCAAGGTTTCTCTATCAAGGCCGCTTATCACGTTATGTTAAATTCAGTGTTGAATCCAGACCTTACCACCGGGTGTAGGGATGTGAAGCTGAGGGAGATGAATTCAAATTCGATAAAACGGGAGACAAATGGAAAATACTGTACTATAATTAAAATACGTGACTCCACAGGAGGAAATTCCCTCTGCACACCCTTGAATTCAACACTGGTTAAACTTCTTTCCAGCTAAACAACAATATGCATTTCAAGAAACGACTAGATTAAAAAAAACAGCCTATAATAATATTTTGTGTATTCTATAAAACACTTAGTACAAATATAAATAAATTAAAAAAAATTCGTTTCTATTTTTAAATATCTTACTTGGAACATTAATTATAACTTTCTTTCTTCGACGATCCTGAATGTTGCGATTCATAGCTCTGAAACAATAACATAAAATTAATAGATTGGTCAATTACGCTAGAAATATTACTGTTTATATCAGCCAAATTTAATTTCTACACCATGGCCTCGATTTTGTTTACCCGAATAATTTATCAGTAAAATCGATTTGTCATGGCTCGAATGCGCATCAGTTTACTAAACAAAAAAGTCAATTACTTTCTGCAACAAGAGACACGTTACACATGTATTTAGTTTTGTTCAAATTCAATTAACAAAAAGATTTTTCATAAGTTAGTTCCAAAACCTATTTTATGAAACAGTCAAAATAATTTTTGTTTCAAGATGACGGAATGAAAGTGGGCAATTTTTTCCTTTATTTTCCACACATTAATTCACCAGAAAGTATCAAACTAAAAATATACCAAAGATACTTAATCATGTTTATATCTTCATTATAAATGTCCAAACTTACTAGGCGATTCTACTTACCCAAATTTCGGATGTTTACAAATAATTGTTTTACCACGAAAGAAAATGGATTCTTTGTTATTCTCATAAAGTGATACCTTGATCGCTGGATCCATAAATTCATCACAGCCTAGTCTTTGAAAGAAAAGATCTTTTTACAAAAAAAGTAGAGAACAGACCATGGTTAGACAACATAAACTTACTTATTTTTGGCTTTATGTAGAAAATCACAACACTAAATAATTACGTTTCAAAGATTTTAAAGTTAAGCCTAACAGTTTACTATTTTTCTGTATACTTACCTTGGGAAACTAGTTAAACTCATGAGAGATTCTTCTTGATACAGTGCTTGTTTTATTTCTTCTCTTCTATGTATGAAAATGAGGGGTTAATTATTTGATGCTTAATCTGAACTTCATTTAAACCACATAACTAAAAGTTTTAGCCACATTAATGAAACTAGGTACTGAAAAGAGTAAAGAAAATATAATAATTATGTATATATTGTAACGAATTTGTTATATATTTATTTGAATGTCAATGTGTGTTTTGATTGAGTTTATATTTAAAAACATGTCTAGCTTATAGTGTTAGATATGTATTGCGAAACTCCTGCCTATTCTCCAAAGTTGTAGAAGATTCTCGAGAGTAAGAATCAACTATATATGTGTGTGTACGTAATTGCTTAAATTTGTATTATTACGTAATCTGAATTTTCTAGAAAGCCTCCGCAGCATATAACTATAACCAACGCGACGCGCCAAAAAAAGAGCATCTGTTATTAGTTTGCTATAGTCAGTGTGCTATAAACTTCGGAAGCTATAACTGTGATTGCTATAACGCTTACCAATCGGAAAACTTCAGATATTTGACCAGGAACCTTTACAAAGTTCGAACATTACAAATCGTTTAACTTCAGTGGATTCTCATCGGACATTAGTATTTTTACGAAAACACTATATAACTTCAACGGTGGAAACCTAGCGTGTGTGGCCAAGGACAAAGCTAGCTTGCTTCCCGGCGAATCGTACTTACATCAACTCGTAATTAACTCGTTCATCGTAAACCCTCAATAAGATATCAAGGGAGTTCCAAAGTAGAAAGAAGATGTTATATTGTTTGTAAGTTTGTGAAACTTTTGTTTATAAATCTTTGTTTGTAATAACTATTTGAAATAATTGTTACAGTAAATTGTATTGTCGTACGAATATTTAAAACGTATTTGTGTTAAAAAAGAAAACTGTGTATCAATCTTGTTGGAAAATATTACAAACTGACTATGTATCGGCATTTATTTAAATACTAAATCCAAAGTACAATTGAACTAATAAATTTGAATTATCAGTTAACTCAATTTCAGACCATTTAAAATTCGAATACGTAACTATATATATATATATATAATGCCCAGTTGCATTTCTTTAGTGTTACTAGGACTTTCTTTTTTCATTAACTGGTAAATTTTAAAACCACATACACACTTGTAGAACAGAATACTTACTTGCATACGAAAAACAGACTGATTATGCAATGTGTTAGTCAACTGCTTGAGAACAATAAAGTGCAGAATAGTTATAATAACGTGGTTAGTCTGCCTAGCAATGGCTAGCGAAGATCTCTTCAAGTTTTAAAGAATATGATAGCCAGAGGCCAGTTCTTGTTAAATGGGACTTTTTTTTAACTAGCTGTTAAAAATATCTACAATTAGCGTCTCTCAAAAATAGAAGTCATGCGATTAGGAAAAACTGTAGTCACCAACCTCTTGTGACAGATAATTGTGCAGGCTTGTAAAATAAAACAAACATCATTTTGTGTTGCAAATGATCACTTGGTAAAAATTCCTTTATCCTCAATCACACTATGAAGGCCTTAAACAAACTATCATATAGAAGCAGCCAACCAATCTAAAAACGGCTAATCTCAAATGCAACAATTAAGTACAGCTCCTAATAATGGTTAGAGTGCAAACTGTAGACAAAGTGTTTGTTTGTTTCTTGGATTTGGCCAAAACCTACACGAGAGCTATTTCCACTAGCCGTCCCTAATTTAAAAGTGATAGGCAAGAGGGAAGGCAGCTAGTCAACACCACACACCGTCAACTATTGGGTTACACTTTGCCAACGATCAAGGCTGAAGGGGTGCACATTTTCAGCGACTAGTTCAATCTCGCGACCTGCAGATTGCGAGCTGAGCACCCTAACCACCAGGTCCCACTATGGATAAAGAATTACTGGAGGGTATGGCTGTGTTTCACTTTCTTTTTATTTCTTTTTTTTTTTTTGCTGTAGTGTAAATATGTATATGTGTTTATATGGGGAAAAGCACGCGAGACATTCATAGGCTGTTTACAAATTCCCAGAATGTGCTATTGTTCTGGTGGCTCCCGTTTTACCAGAGGTACCACAACATCAGATGATTAGTTTATACTTTTTCCACATAAAAATAAATGGAGCTTTCTACAATATGCATGTGTAGGAGTTCTAATAAAGTGACCAGGCAATCAAAAAATACAAAATACAGAGAGAGAGAAAAATAAACAATCCTAGTAACACTGAAGTATTGTATTTGTGCTGAGTATAAAATATGATTATGTAGCTTTAAGAAACATACCTGAAATAACTTTTTTCTGTATTTAACTGAGCCAATTTTTCCCCTTCGAAATTTAAATCTGTATTTTTACCTTACGCCCTCTTGAATTTCTAAACGAAACTGTCGCAACTATTTTAGTTTTTAGTTTAAAAAAAGTTAAGCGATTTAATAGTAATTTTTTTCCTTTATTATACATTTTCGGAAATAGCATATAATGTTTAATACCTTTCACCACTACATTGAAAATTCTGTTCTTTTGGACTACTACCACATTTTTTATGAGAATTATAAAATTATAATATATATATATATATAATTTAAGTTCGTATTTTTACCTAGTTCGCATGTTGCTTTCAACCATGTTCAATTCACAAATCAAACCACTGTACGGCTTAGAAGGCATAGCTTCCACCATATAAGCTCCAAATTCAGGACGCCAAAGAGAAGAAAGGTTACTGTCATGTATATAATAAATAAGATTATGACAAATTATATGAAAACAGAATACATCATACAAATAAATGGCACAAGAGCCTTTGAGAACTTTTATTAATTTTGCTCTACCCGTCCCTAATTTTGAACATATAGACAAGAGGGAAGGAAGCTAGTCAACATCATACAACGTCTAATCTTGGGCTACTCTAATTGAGTGATGGGATTTGACCGTGGTGCTTACAACACCTCACGATCTCAAAGTGCAAAGTGCGATTTTGCATATATAGAACGTGAATCGTGGATTCTCGCATTCACAGGCCGGTTCTCTTACTACTTGGCCACGCCTGGCCCTTTTTCCCATCAAAATTTCTAAAGCACCATAAATTTACGCTTACAAATACTCACCCAGTGTATAAGGTTAGACACTGATCCCATTAATGCTTCGTACAGATAAAAACAACTCTGAGTAAAGCCGATAGGCGTCATTGTTGATGTAATTGACTCTCATAAACACTTGTTTATTCACATTTATTCTTTTTTTTCTTTTTTGAAGATCAAATAATAACAGTAAAACTAATCAGTAAATATTTATGCTAAAGCAAACACGATTTTTGAAAGTTGTAAAATTTTTGTATAAGAATAGGACATCTCACTGCCCCAAAATACTGAAAAGAAAAGAAAAATGGTGAGAGGCCACAATGTATCTAGAATAGTCTTAGTGCATGTGAGATATACAATTTTGATTGGATATAGCTACATGTTAAGTAACCTAATTACAATAAGTTGAGACATATAACAAATTAAACAGTCTATAATAATTTGTAAATTAAATTTTATTAACATTCGCATATATATATATATATATTGTTACGACAGCGGAAGTCACGTGATGAGTTTCTAGAAGATTCACGAAGAGACAAGATGTACGCTTTTATAATATATAAGACCGCCAAGAAGTGACGGCAACAATGGAATTGAATTGCAGACAGAGACGGACAATTGAATCAAGCGCGGTAAAGTGCGTGAATCGTTCGCTGTGAATTATAGCGGTTGTTGAAGATAAACTGACTGTGGAAATTAAGTGTATTGCAAAGTTGTATTGAGAAAGAATAAACTAGTTTTATTTAAGAAAGGACTTGTATTGCTGAAGTTTTCCGGAAACAATTTCTACGGAAAATTAACCAACGAACAGAGACGTAATAATATATATATTTCATTAACACTTTAATTTCAAGTTCTTGTTACATATATTTGTATCTGAAGTATATTCCTTTTCAAAAAATTGCTACTCCATATATAGCTGGAAAAATAATTTAAAAATTTTCTACACTTTTTATATTTTTGTTCTTTTAACACAAATGTATAAATACTTTGAATTAAGCTAGTTTCGGATATAATTTTATTTGTTGATTACTAATGTTCTGTGTATCGATAACGGTAAAACTAATATTAAGTTTTCTTGTTCTTTAATATATTAATCCAGCATTTCTAGGGGCAAAGAAAGCGAAAATGCAAATATACGATATATATTTTTTTTCAAATAAATTTAAATAACGTGTTAAGGTTGAACTTTTTCAATTCTAATTACATCATATATTCAAAAAAAGAAAGAGGGTAAGCTTATTTCGCGTGCACAGAACATAATACCAGTGTTGTTTTATAATCTTAAAGGCCTAGTGGTTAACGTTTCGTTCGACTTTCGTGTTGTGAACACAATACGCAGTATTGTTCCATAATTTTAAAGGCCAAGAATGGTCTAGTGGTTAACGTGTTATCCGACTTTCGTGTTGTGATATGTCATTGAACACACACTCTGCACTTTCAGTCATAGATATGTACATACTAATTAATTAATATGTACATATATTTCCTTTCAATTAGACAGCGATAAACAATCTCTCTATTCAGTTAAAACATAAAGTACTTATTACTTGTTGCTTTTACTTGTGGTCAGCAGTTCTAAATTAGGGATTGTTAAGCCTGACTCTTACTCTTAGGGATCTCTGGCCTGGCCCATTTATCTCACGTGTTGCAAAAGAAACTGTATAGGTTGAAAGAAACCAAATACCATTTATAATGTTTCGTATTTTCTCTCTATATATGAACTTTAAGATAAAATTACTTCCTATTGACTGAAGTTTGCATTACACTGTCAAAAAGTATTATTTCAATAAAAGAAATAAGGATTAACATACCCTAAATTCTCTAACATATTCATATGATCCAAGACTTCTTCAGAGCGAAGACTTATACGTGCCATTTTCTTCTCGTGGTCAAACTTGATAATCATATATTCAGTCTGTAATATCACCAAATATAATTTAAGAATTACATATATCAGTTAAAGATTTCTTTTCTTTCTCACCAAAGATAAAACAAGAATATGCGAAACTGTTGTCCATAGCAAAGGGTACAGCCAATCAAAGAAAGAATTAGACCTGGACGTCACAGATTACTTTTTCAATTTTATTTTTGGTGAGAAAGAAAAGAAATCTGTAACTGATATATGTAATTCTTGGTCAAATATATAATATAATATAGAATAATGATTTATGCATAAGTTCTAACATTATTCAAACACCTAAATTATTTTAGGTTACTTTATAGATGATTGAAAGGGACTTAAAAAACCCATTAATAGTTTAAAAATGCATATTACTGTTAATTATTTAATGCTTTGCTAAACTGCCTAAAGTACCAAACTAATCAAAGTCTTTATTTGTTTGTTTGTTAAGCACAAAGGTACACAATAGGCCCACCACGGGTATCGAAATCCGATTTCTAGCGTTGTAAGTCCGCAGACATATCTCTGTGCCACTAGGGGGCAATCAAAGTCTAAATATGTTAAACGTTTTGGATTTCCAGTTCCTTATGTGCTTTATTTTAACAGCATCTCCAGATAACGTTTAAAGATGGAAATTAGGTAAAATAAAAACGCTGTATATCGTAAAAGTTGTTTTGATGGGTAAAATTCCAAAGCAAAAATGAGGGTATGTGACCCCCCGGTGGCTCAGCGATAAGTCAGAAGGTTTCTAACGTTGAAAATCTGGTTTAGACAGGCTAACTGACATTGAACTCAATAATTCACTGATTTAAATATCATCTAGTTTTCTTCTTACTACACAAAGCTTCTAGATGTTGCTCAATAATTACATAATGCATCTATCAAATAAACACCTAAATTAAAATATTACAAATATAGCTTAAAACACTGCCTCTTCCTGGATTGTGAAGTACCTTGATCAATCCTAATACACGAATAAAACAGTATACGAAACTGTCCATTTATCAGGTAATTTGGTTGGGTTTTTTCCGAGAGTTATAGTATACAAATTGGACTACCTCTTGCCCCTTATAATCATCTGCTGCCCTATCATTAGGGTTAGTTCTCCCTTCATAGACCATTAAGATAATCCACTGATGGCTCTATCCTTGCTGATCTTCTGTAAGTGATATTAACATGAATCTAAGCTCTTCAGCAGGTTGACTTTCCACTGGCAAAGTTTTCTTTGAAGTTACCCAACTCGCCATTCTTTCTTACCAACGTACTTCCAATGATGATCATACCTTTGGCTTGGACCACCTATTCTTCTGAATCCTGTAAACCAGATCACTTATTTTTTCCAGTATAGTACATGATTATTCACAACGCCTGCTTAACTTTGTAGTTTGTCTTTCCTTGTGGCGGGGATTGTACAACTATACCCAGTCAAATCAACGAAAGTCAGTCCTGTCAGCATTATCATCATAGTGAATTTTCATTTTATCACTAGTTGATTTAAGTCTTTCATGGATAAAGTAATGTATGATATCACTGATGTTCCTTCGTCGTTGTACATGTTTTGTGCAAGACCCTTCTGGGTGATTGTTCTTTGAATATGAGTACGGAAAGTCTAATGGCACTTTGAATTTTTCCACAAACATCAATGTAGCTTCATGTACTGATCTTTAATATACATATATATATCATAAATGGCAATGGAAGATCTTGATCCCACATTTTCTGATGTTCATCCACATAAATGACTAATTGTTTTTAAAGTGTACAGTTGTATTTATCCACCATTCCATTGGACAATAGATGAAGGACTGTTGTTCTGGGTTTTTATTCCAAGGTGTTGATACATTTCCCCAAATAAGTGTGATTCAAATCAAAGGTACATTCCAGATCTGAGTGAAGTTCTACAGGCACTCACAATTTTGAAATACATTCATTGATGAGTTTCCTTGCTTGAGTTTCTGCTCCATGGTTAGGAACAGCATATGTTTCTGGCCATTTCGTGAAATAGCCCATAACAACCATGATGTATTTATTGCAACTGTTATTCTGTGGTAGAGGATCAAGCAAATTGACAGAAACTCTCTGAAGTGTCACTTCAATACAATACTGCTGTAGCTTCCCATATTATTCATTCATGGACCTTTTTACTCACAACAAGTTTCTTCTTTGTCTTCAGCAAATTTTACATCTCGCTTCGTGCTTTTGCTGTTGTTGTCTTGAAGTTTAATCAAAGTTCTATTATATATTCACCAAAATAATCCCACTTCTCGTACAAGTGTTGTTACGTGTTCTCTCGTTGGGCAGGTTATTTTGGATTACTTGTTACAAATAATTGAAGTGCACTTCACATAATGATAACAAATTAATTTATTTATTCAATAATGTTTTATACATGCTACGTTCACTGGTAGGGCTAACTTCAAAAATAACATTTCAAAAAGTTCTGAAACTAAATTATGTCTAACTCATAAATAAATTTACTTGTAAAGTTTCCTCGCTAATCAATCGATAACAAACACAAAAACCCACTGACTAATTAGCTTATCCTTTAAAACACGGACGAACAGACTCACTGTCTATCTCTTTAACTGACACAGATTATTTCATTAACTCAATAATTCACTGAATAACTGATTTAAACACAATTTAACGTTAGAAACCGGGTTTCGATACCCGTGGTGAGCAGAGCACAGATAGACCATTGTGTAGTTTTGTGCTTAACTTCAAACAAACAAAATAAATACAATTTAGTTTTCTACTAACTACATGAACCTTCTTGAGGTTGCACACCATTACGGAATGTTATTCTCCCTCTACAAAACGTGTAATTTCAATGAAGAAAAGAAATAATCTATGAATGACGTATAAACCTAGCCACTACATCCTCTGTCGTATACTACTTACGATGAATTCACAGCTCATAAGTACTGTTTGGGAGAGGGAAACAAATAGTTTGTTTGTTTTAGAGCAAAACCACATTGGGCTATCTGTTGTGTCCACCATGGGGAATCGAACCCCGTATTTTAGCATCATAAGTCCATAGACTTACCGGTGTCTCACCGGGGGTCAAAGCAAATAGAAACATCAGGCCTTCTACTATGGTGGAATTTTAACAACTTTTAGGTTTTGATGCATAACCCTTTACTCACCACCAATAGCCTAAAATACTTTAGGTTTCTACGTCATTCACGGAAGTTTATATTTTTATCACTGAAATTATGTGTTTTGGTGAAGAAATGAAATAACAAATAAGAATTTGATAATTGTATAAACTAACCTCATCTCCCCACTTCAAAACGTCATCTCCACGGTTCCTTTGCTTGTTAAAAAGTTTGATGAACTGCAGAACGCCCTGGCGTCTAACATGGTCAACCCATTTTTTTGTTTCCTGCCAACTAAGAGGGGTACCTTCGGTTAATAATCCCATCGTGGTTAGCAATACCCTACTAGTTTTCTGAGAGAATCTTCGCGCAAGTTATATCTTTTACTTCCCAACAAAAATGCATCAAACACGCCTGCGCAGATTTCGTACCAGCCCATTAAGAAGCCGCATAGCAATAAAGAACCAATGCAGAACTTTCGTGTTATCAGTTCTTTCTCACATATTGCTATGGACTTTTTTGCACGCTCGGTGAAGTTCGCCCCCGGTGGCACAGCGGTATGTCTGCGGACTTACAACGCTAGAATCCGGGTTTCGATACCCGTGTTGGGCAGAGCATAGAATAGCCCATTGCGTAGCTTTGTGCTTAATTACAAACAAACCGTGAAGTTCTTGTTTTTAATTTCGAGAAAGTAGTTTTTAAGGTACTCAGTAGAATATTGTTTTAGCCCCCATTTTATTATGTCTTTTATTTGATCGTGACTGAGTTAATAGCAAATATTTGTTTTTCAGTACAAAAATGTACAGTTTTTGCTTTTTTTATTTCCACAATACATATAAGTTTCGATGTCGAAAAGTAAAGAAACTAACAATATGAATTCGTTTCTTCGCCGTATTTTGTACTTTTGACTTTGAAGAATTATTAACGTTATCAGTCTGATCTGCAGGTTCGAATCCCCGTCACGTTAAACGTGCTCGCCCTTTCAGCCGTGGGGGCGTTGTAATGTTACCGTCAATACCACTATTCGTTGGTAAAAAGAATAGCCCAAGAGTTGGCGGTGGGTGGTGATGACTAGCTGCTTTCCCTCTAGTCTTACACTGCTAATATAGGGACGGCTAGCGCAGATAATCCTCGTGTAGCTTTGCGCGAAATTAAAAAAACAAACAAACAGACTAATCTAGATGCAAACGTTATAACAAATGGTAGAAAAACAATATAGAAATTACTCATTACAATACACTAATTACTTCAATTCATTTATACAAATGACAAAAAGTTCACAACAAACACTGTCATGTCTCTCTTTGTAGAGGTGAAACGTCATCATAATAAAACAGTTTGTAATTCACCAATTTGAAGTTAATTTTAGAAGAACAAACAAACTCATCCACTTATTTCATCTGTGACTTTTCTAATCATAAACGTCTTCATTTTATACAATCCTTTACTAACTAATCCTCTCAAATACCCACCCATGCAATTATATGATTAATCATACATTTAACTACTCTTTTTTTTTAACCCGTAAACGACAGTTATGTAAGGTAAATATCTTGGTAATAATAAAAATTTAAATAAATAGGCATTGTTTGGAGAGAAATCAAATGCCGAATATCGTTTTTCGAAATTTGACCCCAAGGGTTAAGTGTTAAGCTTCAGCTCTGGTACAAAATTACTTTCTGTTAGGTCCCCCAGTGGATCAAAGGTAAGTTACGGACTTACAAGACTAAAATTCGGAGTTCCATTTCCCGTGTTAGAAATAGCACAGATAGCCTGTTGTGTAGATTTACTCAAAACACACATTCTGTTGGCCCGGTGGTTAGGGCGCTTAACTCTAAATCTGTGGGTCGCGGGTTCAAATCCCCGTTACATCAAAAATGCTCGCCTTTTCAGGCGTGGGAGCGTTATAATGTTACGATCAATCCCACTACTCGTTGGTAAAAGAGTAGCCCAAGAGTTCGTGATGACTAGCTGCCTTCCCTCTAGTCTTACACTGCTAAATTAGGGACGGCTAGCGCAGTAAGAGAGACGTTTTAAGTCACATGTTACTTATTGCTTTTTGATAAAAACAAAACAACTAAAATAGAAAATAAAATGCTATTTAAATAATCAAACCCAGTGGAGACGAATAATTTTATTTCTATGTATTTTTCAACTTTATATGACCACTTTTATAAACATCTTACTCTTCATCGCACGTTTACATCTGCTAGTAATAAAATATTTCGGAAAGTTTAGGTTACTTTTTTGCAAGGCCAGTCAGAGAGCAAGGCTCCTGGGAAGGAAAAGAAGAACAAAAATTAAGGAAAAAGACACTCACGCATCTTAGATTTGATAATAAAAAATTACTCCTTTCATAAAATCTGACGATAATTGAAGGAAATACTGCATCAAGCATCACAGGACCAGAAGAACTGACTAGTCAAAAATTCAATATGTTATCTGTCTGTTTGTTTTGAATTTCGCGCAAAGCTACACGAGGGCTATCTGCGCTAGCCGTCTTTAATGTAGCAGTGTAAGACTAGAGGGAATACAGCTAGTCATCACCGCCCACTCTTTTACCAACGTATAGTGGGATTGACTGTCACATTATAACATGAAAGGACGAGCACGTTTGGTGAGACGGGGATTCGAACCCGCGATTGCGAGTCGAGCGCCCTAGCCACCTGGCCCGCCAATGTGTTGTCTTACAGTTTACTAATATGTATTTCAATGATATAACTCTCATCAAAATTGTTTTCAGAGATTTTTTTTGTTATGCCTACTTTAAATGCTAGTGATGATGATACTGGTTGGATGGGGTGAGGTGGGAAAAGGCATAGGTAAAAACATAAGGATTATATTTGGAAAAGTAAACTTTGAAAGAAAGGAAAATTATGCAAAACCTTTGACTGATAGAAGGCACATGGGAGACCAAGGTCCGGCATTCTTTTGACGGGTACTGCTTTTCTGTAATGGCAAAATGCACAAGATGCTGATTGTTTAAAAATAAACTTCAATACTAGTTAGAATAGGTTTTGATTTTATACCTTAAAAACATTGAAATTGCTTAAAAAAATGGAAATTTTCGTAGTCACCGGTAGTCGTGAACAGTATCAGGGCAAGTGTCCAGATGTATCCGGTACAGCTAGTTTTTTCCATTCTCCTTGGTAGGTAATAAAAACTCTTATAACGCTATAAATTGGGGTACTATACCTGCGATAAGCACAACGAAGATAGCCAATTGTGTGTGTGCGTTTTTTTGTTTGTTTAAGTAGGCTTTTACCAGCATTAGTCGTGAAATCTTGATCTTATCTATTTAAAATTTTTGACCAGATGATTAATCCTTATGGCCGAACAGCCCTTTTCAGTTGCATGCTTTAAGTGGTTGACTTTGAGTAAATTTTTATTTGTGTAGTATACATCTGTCTAGAATGGGGCAGTCTGTCAGCAAGTTTTCGAGAATAGTTCACACGTATGTTATTAAACACAAAGCTACACAATAGGTTATCTGTGCCGTGCCCACCACAGGTATCAAAACTAGTTTTTTTAGCACAATAAATCATCAATTTGTTTTCAAGTCAGTCAAGAAGGTTTTTGTTCGTTAGTGTATTTGTTTTCTAATCGTTAGCTGTGTTTTGTATTGCGTAGAAACAGTGGTATGTTCCAGAAAGTGATCTTACTGTGGGTTGTTTCATTCTTGGTATTAGTTCCGAGAAGCTAGAATTATTTTATAACTAGCATAAAATACTGATGCTCTGTTACGGGATTCTAAGGTCCCCCTCATGACTCACAGAGGCTTCAACGTACCAGTCAATCATCTCAATTACTTCTATAACTACTCTAATTATTTGTCTGTTGCCATTTCCCGAACTTAATTCAATTCTTCTTAAAAGCAAATAGTTTTAATTTAGCTTCTCAGATTAGTTTTTTTTTTTAATTCCTGTTTTTATTTAAATTATCTTTATTCTACATAATTCTCCAATTCATATTTTTCTTCCCGTGTTTGTATTGAAAAAATATAGAATTTGGCAGAAAACTTCCACATATTATTTATTGAGAATTAGAAAAATTTATACTTTTCTATAGACCTTCTGGAAGTAAAAAAAATGGCCCAAATGTTTTTTTTAGTCAAATCTTAAAAAATAATACCTCAGAATCACCTTGGTATGCGTGAAGTTTCAGATCTCTAGGTTCCTTCCTCTTGGAGTTACGGCGGTTACATACACACGGACAAGTTCTTTTATTACTATAGATTACGTAATTTGTATTTTTGCTCTTCTGTTAAGGTGGTGATTTATAGTTTCTTTGTTGGGCAGTGAAATAATTCCTATTACTCATAGTCCAGTGGATACAAGAGTTTACAACCTTCATCGATTTAATTTTTTGAAGTAATCTTGTAAACTCCTTGCTTTTTAAGTTTCGGTTTTATTTCTGTAGCAGATATTTTGGTGCTTACTATGCGGAGAAAAACATTTTATGATATTTTCTATACTAGCTGACGAGTTAAATTCACCATGCTGTCAAAAATGTACTTCTACAGATGTCATTTGACCCTTGGCTCCATCCTTTTTTTATGGTCTTTTTTCTTTCATCAAATTGTCTGTTTTTTGTATGTGTGTGTGACAAGGAATAATGTGTTTGCAGTTTATCAGAAAAAAAGAAGCTTAATCAAACGTGCCTTTTCCTTTCTTACATTTCCGGTAATTTCGCGTCCTACCACCAACAGGATGCTGAAAGATTAACAGTGCATCGAGGAATCCTGTTCCATTTTCTCCTTTCTTAAATAGGGTTGGGCTTAAAGTGATTGGTTAAGAGTCCAAATGCAGTTCAAGTTGATGAAAACTACCAATTACATGATGTATGAAACTTCAAGTAACAACAAAACCGCAGGAATCTATTATCAGCAAAACTTTCTTTGCATCAATTTCTAATCCAGTCAATGTAAAATATAATTTTAGATTATATTTAGAATTAAAAGTGGAAGTTGATAGTTTGTTGGCCATCCGAATCTCTGGAAATTCTTAAAAAACTATAGTATCATTCTAAATAAAGGTTCTGGTCCGGGTATTAATGAGTGTTTAACAGAAGTTTATGTTGTTGTTTTCTATCAAAGTACTGTGCCGTTTTTAATATTTATGTTTGCTATCATGGGGCTTTAATGACGGCATTACAAACTACAATACAGTATCATAAATGAAAGACGTCACGTTTAACATCTCATTTAGTCCAGTGAAAGTTTGAAGTAGCCTTACACTGGATGACCCACAATGGTTCTTTGTTGATTTTGTATCTTTAACGTACAATCAGAAAATGGAGTATGCCAAGCTGGAACCCGTGAGCATTT